CGCTTCACTATATTTACTGGGCATAACATCAGTTTAGGCAGGTTGTGAAGTCTAGTTCGGCCACACAAAATAATAATTTTGTCTTTTTGAAAAAGACTGTTGCACTGTTATGTTCATTGTGAGGACTTAGACAGAGACAGGGATTATTCTCGCTTCCAGACACCACATGGGAGTGGTTCATCCTTATTCTAATTTTTCTAAATCCACAAGAGTATGTATTAAAGATAGATGAACCTACTATGACATCACTCATTTCTTAGGGAAGTCCCATTGTGAAGCTTCAAGATGGGCATTTTCTCTGTCCCCGTATTGGTGTTTTGAAACTGAATGTGAAGAGAGGAGTGAGAAACTGAGGAACACTGAACACTGGGCAATCTTTTCAAACGGCTGCAACATCTCCCTCTGTATAATCTGTGAATCTCTGAGATCCTGGACTGATATATCATAAAAATAGCGGTAAAAGCCGTCTCGACCGTACCCTGTAGTCTTCAACGGCAACGTCGCTGTTAGGCACCGCCCACATAAAAAAAGTATCCTGTATGATTAAAAGACGTGAAGCTAGCGTTTGAGCCCACAAAGTCATCAGGAAAGTGTTGACTGTGGATACAGTAAGAGTCCCTTGGCCTGTTTCCCTCTAGATTTCCATGCAACTATAAGTCTGTTTGCAACTACAGGAGGCATCCCCTGCTGGCCATTATACAGAATGCATGCTTAATACAATTCAATATCACTTTTCAGACCTCAAAGACAATCTTCAATACGCAGTCTACATACTGATAAAGCCTACTAAAGACAATGCTTTGACGTTTTTCAGTGATTTGAAGGTGGGCAGAGTATAGCATACAAACATGTACATTCTCAGAATAAAGAGAACGAGATACAAAAAAAGTGCTCTTTAAGAGAATGACTCCATCTTTCAGTGTTGAGTGCAGTCGTTGATCTTTTTTTTTTTTTTTTTTTTTTTTTTTTTTTTTGATGTTGCTTTCAGGTTTTTTAGTCGTCCTTCTACTAGTGGACTATATCGGCAGGAAGAAAAGCATGGCACTGTGTTTCCTCATGTTTTCCTTGTGTATTCTACCGTTATACGCTTGCATTGGGAGGTACGTTTGTTTTTTAATATCATAGAAACGACAGGAGCTAACCCAAACATGCTTGACATTAAAACACCCAGGCTGATTTGTAACTCTTTTTTTTTTTTTTTTAAATTAATCCAGGATAGCCCTTACCATCTTCATCTTCATTGCCAGAGCCTTCATCTCTGGTGGATACCAAGTTGTTTTTGTTTACACACCAGAAGTACGTATCACTTTTCAATTTAGCAGATTTTGTTTGTTTGTTTGTTTCTTTTTTCAGACAGGTCAAATTGGACAAACTGTACTCACTGACTTTTCTTTCTTTTGTTTAGGTGTTCCCTACAGAAAACAGAGCTTTAGCAATGGGAACGTCAAGTGCCATGGCCAGGTTGGGTGCCCTGATTACACCCTTTGTGGCACAGGTATGAAGCAGTCTCCTGTTTTTGTGTTTTTGAACAAGCTAATAAAATGTTTTCGGTAAATTTTGTCCAAATATATCTCCTAAATGAAATTCTTTTTTTCTTTTTTTTTAAGGTTTAAGATGTTAGGTTCTCTATTACATGTAACAGCAATAGTACAATGCATACATACAATGGCCATGTTGTTAAGTAAACCTATTCAGCTATTTATTGGCATAAATGTCTAATC